CTAGTTAGGTTGCAGGTATGGCAGCTAGTGTAGAACCCAGGCAGACTACTTAAATTAGGTACCAAAAGTACACGTGTAGCTAGTTGTATCTTCATGAAATTGATGTAATATCATATTTATCTAAATAAAGCTAAGTGCCAGGGACCTAAGTGGTCACCTTAATATTAAAAAAAAAAAAATAAAAAAAAAATAATAAAAGAGCCAAATGTTTGGAGTGTTGTAGTAATTGACAATATTAATTTTAAGGATATTGTCTTTCAGTATGGCAATATTTATAATATCACACGGCAATCTGCATACGCTGCTCTAAGACTAATATTTTAGTTCGAACTTCCATTCAGTTTGTCAAGTCTTGTCCAAGAAAGTCAAGATCCAGAATCTCAAAAAAACTTGTTTGGTAAATCAATATTTATAACCGAATGGGAAATAAAATTTAACCAAATAATAAAACAATTACTAAATAAAAATGGAAGAAAATTTGAAATTAGAGAAATTGATGAAGAAGTATTAGCTAATATTGAGAAAGGATGTTGAGTAAACCTACCGAATCTTGTTATACTAGAACTCAGGCTAGCACCTAACAGTAATAAAGCAGTGTTTAAGTCAATTGATATGTTTTTAAAAGATTTTGGTCAAGATGTTATTGATATAGCGTGTGATGCAGCTATTTTTGGAAGAACCAAATCTTATAAAAATGATAATTTAACTTGCCAATTTATTCATAGGCAGTGGCATATATCAAAAGCTATGTGCAGTGCTTTGATCGCTGTGTTTAGTGGATATGGTTTATATAGTATAGCTGCAAAACTTAGTGTCAAATTTTTTGATAAGCTAGAGCAAAACGTAGATTATCGTTCAATGTGCAATGTATTAGAATTAATACATGCTGCTATAGGTATAGCAATTCATCTTCACCTAAATAAAAATAATATAATGCAAGACAAAGTAAATAACATAGATGAGAATGCTATAATAAATAGAAATAATAATACTTTAAAAGTTTGGTTTTTGTATTATTGTTTAGCTGGGTATTGGAAAGCTCATCGTGCAGGAATTCATTCAGGAAATTTAGATATGCAATTAAAAAATTTGGCAGCATTTGCACCTTTATTTCCTGTCACTGGTAAAAACAATTATGCAATATCAGTAGCATTCTTTTTAGAATCAATATCACACCATCCACAGCAATATATATTACTCAAACATGTTGCTTCAGTAAACATTACCAGAGAGAATCACTATTTAGCTTTCGATGAAGCTCTAAAACAATACGGTGTTAAATTTGTAAAACAAAACTTAACTTCTGGCTTATCAGATCCAGTACTTTTAAAACAACGAATTGCAGCAATTTAAGATAAACATAAAAGGATGCTAATATTATATAGTGAATTTGTAGGTGATAATGTAGTAATTCCAAAAGACTGGTCAATTAAACAATATATGGAAGTTTTATAGGACCTTGTTGATGAACTTACTTGTGCATTCGATTTGATAAATCCAAGACAGCATAATCTTTTTAGATATGCACAAGAAATGAGCAATGAAGATTATACATGAATATTCACTTTCTATGAAATTAGGCTTAATCGATTAGATAAACTTCTGCAAGAAGAGGTAAAAAGGTATCTAAAGGAAGAAGAACTAAAAATATAATTAGTCTTTCAGCTAAAGAATATCAATCGCTAACAAAAAATGACACATAACTATAGATAATCTGAATAGCTTGTTTTTCTCAAAAAGGATCTGGACAACAAAGCTAGAATTTTTTTTTTTAATTTTGTATTTTCTTTTTTAAACAATAAAAATATTAATTAAAAAACAGTTATATATTATAAAACTTATAAATCAACTTTTGCTAATGCATGAAAGTTATTACTATTTACTTTGTATTTCCTTACTATACTATATTTATCATCAACATCTTTATCTGAATATGTGCTATTTGATAACAGCATCTGGATCATATTGTGCTTTTGTATTGTGCTTTCGAATTGCCACATTCAGCACTTTTCAAATACCATTCAAATGCTAAGTTATTATTATAAAATACTACTCAAATATATCATAATCAACTACAACAGATCTTAGTTATCATTCACATTGTCCAAGCCCAAGAGATCTCCAAAGCTAAAGTAGAAGATTTAGTTAATAATCACAACTTGTCACTAAAAAATAGTTTCAGCTTAGTATAAAAAGAAAGAATACAAGATCTCTAGAATTAACTTAAAAAGAAATGGAAATCAAAAGTTATAAAACAAGTTAAGGCAATGCAGATTGATGAAATGGTAGAAGTAGAAAGTCTAGAGATATTTGAAAATAGATCTGTATCGAAAAAAGGACTTGATAAAGTTAAATAAACATTGATAAGCTACATATTTATATAGTAAAAATTTTTCAATTCACTATATTTTAAAAATTTATTAATTAAACTTACATTATGCTTATAATCAACTATATAGCCTGTAGTTTGTACTAGATTGTAATTAAAAAAGATCCAATAAAAGTTAGCTTCGTGAAAAGAATCTGGGTAAAAAAGATAAAATCTACACTCTTCTTTGTCCTTTAATATTTAAAGACAAAAAAAAAATTAAATAAATAAAGTATTATAAATAAATGTAATAAAGCTCGCAAATTAAGTTTTACTAATTCATGAAGACTGGGTATTTAGAAAGTTTTGCGAGTTTTCTTTACACAAACTGAAAGTATGTATAAAATCTTTGTGTAATATTACTATATAAAATCAGTCAGTGTGACATCTTACCTGACTGCTAAGATAATTCGATCATACTTGTAGATTTACTTGATATTACAACAATATTATGATATTAAGCTTTTTTATTATAACTTAATTTTATTATTGTTTTATACTAATTTTTTTTTCTTTTTACATTGTAAAAAATAACTCTTTTGCATTTTCCAATTGGTGCTCAATCATCATATCATCAGATATTTCATGAATTTCGTTTGAATCTTCATCGTTCTTATCCTTCTCAGTATTTTCTTTAGGTAAGGTTTCACCTAAATCTTTTTTTAAACTGTTTAATAAAGAATTAGTATTTTGTCTAACTGCAGTTTTTAAATAATCTAAACAAATAAAACATTTAAATTGTTGATTCTGCAAGCAATAACTATGGTAATCGTGTCCGCATGCAAGAACACTACTATTAGATAAATCATATAGAGCACTGCAATATACTGAATCACATAAACCAAAAATATTAGATTTTCTTGATATAACAAAACCTTGTGGAAGGTGCCGATCCATTATTTCATAACCTAATGAAAATAATCTGTATGTGTTAATATTATCCAAAGAGCTAATAATTAAAGAACTTTCATTATACATATGATATATTTTAGTAAAGATTTCTAAAAGATGTATAGCACATTTTTGGGAAAGTATCCACAATTGTTTTGGTGAATAAGGATATTTTGTGGAATGCGCAAATTGTTATTAAAATCATTGTTATGATGCTGTTGATAAATAGTATGTGCTGCATTTCGTAATTGTTCACCCGTCAAAATTTAGAGGTATGCCGTCTAATAATACTATGAAATATTTCAATAAGAGAATCATTTAAAGAAGCGAGATGGATAATAATAATATTAACTATTAGATGATTGGTATCTATCCAATAGAAAATATCTGAAAAAAACATCAAAGATGCATGCTTATAATTTTTTTGATTGAATTGTAAAAAAAGATCACACCAACAATGCATGCAAGCCTCCTTGTAAGTTAGCCAATTACCTTCTTAATGATTTATCACATAAATGTCTAAAACTAAAGAAACTAAATTACTAAATAGGTTAGTTAAATACAAAAATTCTATATTTTTGCATGTATAACTAAATTTTGAATAAATAAAATCATTTATTTCAAACCACGCCAGATGTACAATATAGAGAATTAAATCAATTTGCCATGGCCATGGTTTCTTACCGAGATCTTTACGAATTCCAAACATGCTTTTGTAAAGATTATTAAACAAAAATGAATTTTTTTTGTAAACAAGTTTACGGGTATTTAATGATACATAAAGAGGGCCCATCATAGATAGAAATGCCGTGATGAATTCGGGAATACTTGGATTGTTTAAAAGAACTTTCTATGCTATAGCCTTATGAATGTAGAATTGACTGGGCCAGTCCGCAATGACAGGAACTGTGAATTTGGAAAGATATTCCTGCATTGGCTTCTGATTATATATAGCTTTAAGCGAATCTAAGTATCCACTAATTCTCTTTAAGCTATACTCAAAAAAATCAAAAAGGATACAGTGTTTAATATGTCGATCACTTTTTTTTTTCACCAATCTATCGTCATAACTATGTAAAGTAAGTTTTTCTAATAATTCTACATCAGAATATTCTCTTTTAACGTAATTTTTTGTATAATGATGATAAGAAACACCAAGATTTATAATAAAATGCTTATCTATATGTCTTATGATTAATTCTTCATCTACAACTTTAGGATTAATCACTTGGTTACATGGTATAGCTAATGTTAAGCACAGATTCATCAAGATTGTTGCTATATGAGTTGACAAAGATGTAGCAGTAGTACAGGGCTAATATAGAACATAGATATTATGATAATTATCTATGTTAAGGACAAGAGTATTGTTTAAATGCTCTATAAGATTATCTCTAATGAATTCTCCATGTGTTTCTGATATCTTCTTTTTTTTATGATTTACGGTTCTTGCTGTTGCGCTTATACCGATACTTGCCATGGTATTTAAACCTTTATTACTTGTTTCTGTCGAATCTAAATAAAATACAAGATCTGACTTAAAAGCATTAATTTGTGTATTATTTAATGAAGTGAGAAGATAACAAATAAAAATTATAATTTTTTTCATATGCTCCATAGTTTGACTGCTATGTTTTGATAAACGTGCTGCTAAATATAATTGATCAAAAAAATCACCCAAGTTAGAATCTTGATTTTCAAATAACTCTTGTAATTTATCAAAATTATAGATAGGCTTTTGCTTTTTTTTAACTTCTCTAGTATGGAGAATTTTTGCCATAGATCTTATGGCTTTAATAAGCCCAAAATTATTAAATATGTTTATTTTCTCTGTTTCTATTTCTGTTTTCATAATACCTATCTCAGTTGGTTTTATAATTTTTTTATTAGTAACTTTTTTTCCTCTTTTAAGAGGTTTTGACACATAATTCATATAACAACAGTTACAAAGTATTATATGTTTACTTCACCCTTCTCTTACCAAACTGTTAACTTGAATTTCTTTCTATGTTTCATCTTTTAACTGGCAAAATTTTGATTTACTAGACTCACTAGACTCCTTACATTTGAGGTATTTCTTAGTACTTTCCATTTTGAATATAAAGTTAATGCTGTGAGATTTAGAGGGATTCAACAAATATTGTTTTCTATAATATGAAGGCTTCAAGTTTACTTAGTAAAGTATTGGCACTTAGCTTATTATGCAAGCAAGTAATACAAGATGTTCGAAGTACTTTAAAAGTATATAAAAAAAAAAATTTATAAGTTGTGTAAT